GGCCTTGTACATATTACGATATAGAAAAGAGGGTGAAATGAGTTTCTTAAAGTCAAATTCTGCAAGAGCGTGATATGCTAAATGATTTTATATTCATTTTAACATGTTTATTTATTCTCGGTGTAAGTAATAATAATAATAACAGGGAACAGTTAAATTTAACTGTTCCCTGATAATAATAATAATAATAATAAGTAATTTAATGTAGACAGTGGACCTATACATAGGTCTATATTCATATGGTCATTGAAAAAACGAATACTAGGTAGACACCTATGTGAACTCTAAATGTTAATAGTCGGCTAGGATTAACAAACTCACCTACGCAATGTGCTGAACAACAGATACAATTCCTACAACATAGGTAACCATTCCGACTAGTATCTTTGTCCATTAATATTAGGCCTACTAACATTAATTGACAAACAAATGCACAGATAAAATTAAGGAAAAGACGGATAATAATGGGATACATACCTATAGCTTTGGGTTCAAGGTTGTCAAGTTGGGGGTGGTTGTGGGGATAAGCTCCCATTACCTTTAAAGTGCTCCCATATGACATGCGTCTCAAAAAGCCTCTGACAACCAAGTCTAGCTCCTGGCCTGCTCGTGTGGCCTAGTTTCTAAACTCGGCGAACCTGCTTTTACTGACAGGAGAAGGGGTGAGGGTTATATCATACCATGGAAAAGGCTTCAGGAGTCAACCTCGAGGCTAAATCAGGAGCTGAGTCCCTTAGGCAGTTGACTGTTTACAGTCACGTTCTGGCAACTCCTGCGACGTCGCTGAAACCAACCGTATTGGCTGTTGCCTTTCCATTGGACCATTTCAGTGACGTGGAGTGTGGGGGTCTACTGCATGGGTAACAGTCTACGCCCCATATCAAACTTACCCAGGCTTCGCACAATGGAGAGGACACTCCAACTTTGCTATACATGGTTGACACAACACGGGAATACGGTCATGCTAGACGATGTTTCGGAAACACCATCCAGAGTGCGACTCCATAGTCTTTCGAGAAGGATGCCATAGAAAAATACATATAGCTTCGTTTGTTTTATAGCTCAAGTCGTTATTTTATGTGATCGTTCTTAAAACTAAGATGAAACTTATACTCTTCAACAATGTACAATAGGCCTAGTACACGGACCTCTAAATTACCACTATCCAATTAAACATGGAAGATTTTATGCTAAGTTGAGCGTCACCGATACGCCAAATGTTTATATCTGCGAGATACGCTTATGACTCTATAATCCTATCAAATACTAATGCTCACCAACAGTATATATGAAGACAGGGATTATAATACACTATTCTTTCCAAGAATACCGCCAAAATACAGAGATATTGACGCTTGATACGATTGATTTACTTTTGATATGAATGTATGTAAACAAAAAGGAATCTCTTTCAATATCGGCCTACCAAATTGGTGTACAAAATACATAAGTAAACCAAACAAACAAGATTTGGATGGCGATATTGAGAGAGATTCCTTTTTGTTTACATACATTCATATCAAAATTTGATATGATATCAAATCATATCAATTCGAGTCGATTCGAATTACCTTTACCTACTGGGGCGGATGCAGGATTTGGCGGTAGGGGGTGCGTACCATCAATATCTAGATGAAAGCGGCAGACATTACCATTATAATATATAGGCCTATACCGTAGTCAAAACGAAGCGCCAACATTGTCTTTGATGTATTTACCTTACCTACTTCAAAACTTTGAGTCCAAATGCATCTCAGCCCCACCACAGTTGGGGCTGAGGTGATAAAATTTGAGGAAATATTATACCTGTAGATGGCCGGAAATGACACTTTTAAATAGTAAAATTCATTCCTAATCTTTCATCAGCTATTTTTTGGCAACCATAGAGATTTAATTAGTATGTGTGATGTACGGTACCCTAGAAAATAAAACTTAAAAGCATTGTCTTTGATGTATTTACTTTACCAGGCCTATTTCAAAACTGTCCACACGCATCTTAAGCGAGTCCACGCATGGTGAAATTTGGGGAAATTGTACCTCTAAATTGCCGGATATGACACTCTTATATAGTAAAATTCATCATCAATCTAATTAATCGCTGTACCATAGAAAATAAAACTTTATTGTCTTGATGTATTTACTTTACTTAATCTACTTCATGTGCCGAAAACTAATCTTTTCTTTGCACGCTTTTTCTCATACTTCTCAAATTATAATAAAGGCACGCGTACTCGAGTCGCGTATTATACCGTAGGTAATTCAAATGTTTGTGGGCAGAGATACCGGCATCTTGCTATAAAATAAGATGTACTCTGGCTGCAGAGCGCTCTTTCTATTAATCATCATCACTACAGTACCACCTCCTCAACCACCACCACCAACATCATCATCATCATCATCATCATCATCATCATCATCATCATCATCATCATCATCATCATCATCATCATTATTATTATTATTATTATTATTGTTGTTATTATTATTATTATTATTATTATTATTATTATTATTATTATTATTATTATTATTATTATTATTATTATTATACCGGCGCATATTCACGTCTCGGTCTAATTCATTATTTATAAGCAAGGTCTTTAATGTGTCAGCCTCATTTTTTCTATATGTTACTTTGTGATTATTTCATACATGAACAACACTTTAGTCGAAAAAATGTTAAAATGATAAGACCAAACGCTTCCTATCAAACGTTGCGACTAGTCCGCCCTCATGTAAATTAGGATTTGCAGACCTGTTGTGCTGCAGAAGCTTGAGATTTACAATGCCGTATGACGTCGTCACATACATGCATACGGATTAATACATACATTAAAAAGGCCTATGGACACGAAACGTCGATCCTTTTTGTCAATAAATTTTGTGTTAAAGTTATATGGTAAACGTCTGTTGATTCGTATTATTTTATTTCTTTAAAAAATATCTTCCTACTACATGTGAAAAAACGCCTCTCTTGCCACAAGTGGTTGATTCAGAAATTTGTCAAAGGGGGTCCAACATGTTTTTTGTCCGATGAACTTGTCGTGGTGTTGGACCGTCCTCCCTGCCCACCACTGGCGCCGCCACTGCTCGCCACTCACGCACACCCCTTGCTGCAAGCAGTGGTGGCGCCAGAGGGAGGCTGGGGGATATAGCCCCTCCCCTGTCAGAGAAGCATGACCCTCCCCCACCCCCCACCCCGTCGGGGAAGATGAGTAAATTTTGTCGGGGAATAAACAAATATAAAAAAATATTTACATGTAATGTTCGTTTAGCCACCATAAAACTATTAAACTATTTGTGTTAACTTTTCATCACAATAATAATAATAATAATAATAATAATAATAATAATAATAATAATAATAATAATAATAATAATAATAATAGTTTATTGAGACTAATTAAAAATAAGTTGCGTTCTGTTATGACAAATGCTTGTTTGGATAGCCTCATGATGCTTCGAATTACATCGTGATAGGTGAAGCAACCTCGACCTTGACAGAGTGGTTGACAGATTTCATGCAAAATTTCCAAACTGTAGAATTTCACTTTCAAGAATGAGGATTTGAAAAGAAATTAGATGGTTACATTGCATACTCTTTCTTGTTTTATTCAAAATATTTTGGTTTTGAAGCTGATTTCGACATTAGAAAAGCCTACATGAAGTCATATTATAGTAAATCAATGTCTATCAAATAAGTAATATAAATTCGCCATAATTCGTAAAATATCCGTGGCTTCGCCTCCTGGACACCTCCCGGGGCCCCAGGCGGCCTCCTAGGGTGCCAGCAAAGTGAGACTTGATTAGCTCCCTAGCCCCCCCCCCACCATCGGGGCCTTTAGCCCCTCCGTCGGGCAGGTCCTGGCGCCATCACTGGCTGCAAGACAGCGCATCACAGTAGCACCCGTAGCATGCAATACCAGTAGGATAGGAACACACTACATAACGCGTTATTATTCATAGCTTGCACAGTAACCATAGTCACTATCAATATTTGTGTAAAAGGTTTGTAAGTGACCTAATGTATCCACGGATATTTCTTAAATTGTATTTTGTTTCACGAATAAGAGAAAATGTCTTGGTTTTCATGGCGAGAACTTCAGGCACACCATATGTAAACAATATGTTAGAAGTAAAACCACTGTTTCGAGATTGCTCTGACCGTCATCAGTCATTATCCTGATGTCGGTCAAAGCAATCTCACCGAATAAGCTTAACGATATCTGGTAAAATGTGGAAGAACAAACTCTCAACAGTTTCAATGTAAACATCGAAACATTGAGTAACTTTAAATGATTCGCCTATGTATACAAAGTGATCTTTCAACCAGTGACCTATGAGCTCTCGGGCTCTCTGTCACCAAAGGGCCCCCAGAGGGGCTCTTTCAACTAATACACAGAGCTTCGACAGTACGGTCTAGTAGAAGACACACAAAACTATCAAATTAAAACAATGTGATTTCTGTTTTTTAACTCACAAATGTTCTATATGGACTCACTAATTTTTTTACAAATATCAATTCGCAAACCAAAGGTGTTCTACAGCTGGGATCCACTACAAAAACGAAAATTAATAGTCCAAAATAATGAAGAAAGGCCTACTAGAATTCATAAAGCTTGAATACGAATCAAATAATAATTTGATGCTGCTATACTGTTAATATTCTGTTATGAAGGGGGCCCCTCTCACTAAAATGGCGCTCCAAACTTTCCCTCCCCAGGGTCCCGTAACTCGCCGTTAAGCCACCGCTTTCAAATAGGGTCTACCTCCACAGAGTGTAACTACTGATATTGACATAATTGACATGGCAACGTAACAAATTACAATGTTTAAAAAATTGTATAGATGTGGGAATATTGTTTGATATTTTGTTTTCGTCAAGGACATAAATCCATTATCTAGTTATTTTCCAGATGTCTGCTAACCACTGTGTATATCACAACAATGCGTGTCAATCTGTGACAATAGAGCTCTCCTTAATTATAAATAATACCCACAGATTATTGAAGTATGCATGGTTTCCACATAGAGATATTATATTTTTACTATATAGTACCTCCTTGATTTCCCATAGAAGTGTAACGCGACTTGCTGATCGTATTTAGTCCGATAAAGTCCGATGATCCATACCGATGCCAAGGATATGAAAAGCAAAATAGATGTTTAACATATAAACTATTATAAAAGTGATGATGATAACTGATATTGCATCCTGTTTTTGTATAATGTCCATTTATTTAAGCCATTATTGCTGTTATGGTCACCCTCGTTAATTAAAGTTGAATAAAAAAATAAAATTAAAAAGAAATCGATTTATTTATTTATTTTGTTTTGCTCCCATGAGATGGTAGCCAACAAAGGGATAACCTCTGTGTACAGGTGCCAGCTAACATAATTTAACATTGTAAAGCAACCCCGTTATCACAGATTGACACCTATTGTGATGATGATGATGATGATGATGATGATGATGATGATGATGATGATGATGGATGATGATGATGATGATGAAAAAGGCGATGGTAGGCGTAGGCTTAGTGATGGTGATAATAGTGGTGGTGATGGTGGTGGTGGTGGTGGTGGTGGTGGTGGTGGTGATGACGATGATGTGGTTGATGATGATGATGATGACTGGGTGGCGGTGGTGGTTGTAGATGACAATGAGTATGATGATGTGGTACTGGTAGTGGTATGATGATGTGGTAGTGGTGGTGTGGTTATGATGATGATGATGATGTGGTAGTGGTATTGATTATGATGATGATGACGATGATGTGGTAGTGGTATTGATTATGGCGACGTGGTTCGCTAAACGAATGGAATCCATTGCCAGATCATGTTGTTAATTCAGAGTCTGTAAATAAATTCCGCAAATTAATCACCCTTATTTGTATCAAACTTTTATTTGGCCCGACTAAGCAAATGTTGAGAAAATTACGTTTATCCGTCAAAACAGAATCAACATTTCTCCACTTCCTGAGAAGTACTCTATTCAACACTATATCCAAATTCAAATCATTTACATTATTCTGCCCTTTACACTAGAAACAAACCCCCTGCGACACACGCAGAGCCACCTACATGGTCTCCAACTCAATGACGTGTGTCATATGATTCTGCATTAGATTAATTAAATTAATGAACAAAACAGCTCCCACAAATCAATAAGTACTTTTATAAATGCATATTATCTAATAACTATTATATAAAAATAGATCTAAAATCATTGCAACAGTATAAGGCCATCTTACTATTATTAAGTACTGGTATAGACATTTCACCTGATATAATTATACTATATATTTATATTATTATTATGTTTCATGTCTATTTGAAATTTTTTTTTTAAATGTATAAAATATATACTCGGTATGTATTTTAAGTTAATGTCGCTGTAACGTCAGGAGCAAACAATCACTGACAGTATGGCTGCATGCTCTATAATATTTTCCTTACAGTGTAGTGGGAAAATCCTTGTATATTGGAGGTATTACTGTCACCACTAAGAATACATCTATGTTTGAATGAAATATTTTGGGACATTTTAAAAATAGCGGTAGTCTCTATTCGAATAAGTACCCGACGGATACACAGAACCTGAATAGGGACTAGCCTCCTCAGGGCTGTCATCATTGTCTCCTAGCAACCAGTCGCGTATTCGCCTCTCAACATCTTCCATCCTTACTTCTTGTTTTAGAGGATTCACTGGGGTACCACTTCCTCCATATGTAGTTACCGATTCATTTTCACTAATAGATTGGAGGTCCATAGAAGAAACGTGTTCCTGAAGCATATCGATGAATACAAATTCAGATTCATCATGCACAGGGTTTGTGATAGAGTCACTACGACGGCTATCTGAACTACTACCCGTTGAAGTGGTATATGCATGTCTGTTCCGTTTTTGTTGTTTTTTAAGATATTGTCTTTGGTTGTGCGCTGGAACTTTTAGTCTGGAATGTAATTGTTGAGAAGATGTTGGGTTGTAGTTTTGACGTGTCCTTTCAATCCCATATGCCACGGGACGAGAATGAGCTGTAGTATAATAACTAGGAGACGAATGGTACCCTCCTCCTAATTGCAGGTCCTGGGGGTTGAGGGTGGTGGGTACAGATGAATGAGGTCTGGGTCCATTCCAAGTAGAAGCTCTGTTTAACGGTAATGTATGTACGCGACCAATGGAATTTCCCTGTGTCATATCTGATGATGGTCTTTGTCGAGCAATTCGAATTGCGGCTCCATGGTTTTTCTTTCCTTCTAAGAATACTGAAAACGTTGTCTCCTCAAAAGAAAATATTGACGATGCCGTCGAGGTTGTTGGTGATTGTGGACTGGACGCTTCACTCGGAGCAAAGCTGGGCCTTCCTTCTGGAAGACCAATTGCTTTGGCCAACTGTTTCTGTTCTTTTTTAGCCTTTCTCTCTAAACGAACTCGTCGTCTTTGCTGTAATTTATCGAATACTTGAAGAAATGTTCGTAAAAGCCATTTAGTAATTTCGCTCGCCACCCTTCTACGACCACATAAATAGGCATGACATTCATACAAGGACCCGTCAGCTGTCGAATCAGTTTTTGCAATGATAGCAAACACCTTTGGATTTTGATCGTCAACAACTCCGTAGCAAATGTGGTGTATAGGTATTACAACGTGCTTTTCTTTTCCGAAAGGTCCATTATGGTCAAGAAAGTGAAACCCTCGTTCTGAAATTGTCAATTTGCTATTCGATAATCTACTGCGATCTTTGAGTTTTAATAGAGACTCAACAGGTTCGGCTATAAACTCCCGTCCAAACTCACCTCTTGCGGGCATCTTTCCCAGATATTGGACATCAAATACTGGACACTTATCAGCTGATGTTACAGGCAACAATTTTGATCTGTTATCTTTAATATCATTCTTATTCTTCTTTTTAAAAAGACTTTTGGACGCCATTATGAGCTTAGTAGTATTCTGCCGCAATGACGCAGGTTGGATTGACGGTTAATAGAACCTGCTCACTGAGCTGAAAATATCTCCTCTGAATTGTATTGTTACCTGGGTTGGAGTTCATCTCTCAACACTACAATACCCGATTATGCAAAATACCACAAACCGTATTTCTCTTACATTGCTATTTTCCAAATGCAATCAACCATGCGACAGGTTAATTCTATCTATGGAGCATGTTCTTCCATGGTGGACCTTCCTCCAAGGTTCTTCCAATTCTCGTATAGTCAATCAAGCCTGTTGCAATAATTGTAAACTTCTGCTTACGTGGTAAATTTAAACATCAGAACATTTTCCTACTTTAATCGCAAATTATTGTGATTCATCTGGAAACTCCATCTTCGCTCCATGGGCGTATGCTCGTAAAGCAATGATGATTATAATATTTCGAATGGAATCTCAACATTTACAGGTTGAGGCTCTATATCACTTCACACGCATTACTCATACACAGTACAGTAGTACTATTTGTAACGTTAAATTATGAATACGTGAGAGAGGGCTGATTTCCGCCTTATGATAAATTTAATTGACAGTATAATGAAAGCGCATTCAATATTGTGGTGACTATATCGCCATCACTTTTTTGTTGAATGACGAAAACAGTACATATAACAACATTGACATTTAAAAAACGATATAAAATACATCATAGGATAAAGTCGAGATAAAACACATTTAATGCTTAGGGTGACAGCTTATTAAAAAAATAAACCTAACAATAGCCTCTGAAAGGAAATACCAAAATAAAGCCAAGCCTATACCATTGTGCCTATATATTTGAAAACGGCAATTTACGTGGGCGAGGGATCCCATTATTATCCCTCATAGAACACTTCAAAAACATTGCATAGCTAAGCCGTGTGTCTACTTGCTTTGCCAGACGGAAAGCACAACGATTAATGCTGGTATTTCTGTTTTATAACTTAAGTCTGTGTGCTTTACTTGAATATTAGCAATAGGCCTATTTGATAATTAAATGAATTGTCATGTGTGAGGTGAAACAATACAATCACAGGCAGTGTTGTGTTTTTAAACATTCCTATCAACATGTTGCACTCGTACAGAGAGGGTGAATTCATTATGTTTGCAGCCTATAGGCCAAGTAATTGTTTTATTTATTTAATCTGGTATATAGTAAAAAGTACAAAAAGCAGTCTGAAAAAGTCTGAAATTATTGCAGTACATAAATTAAAGAAAACCAAATACATACATCAAACCCATTCAAACAAACACAAAATAGACATACAGCTTAATTGTTTGGTTTTTTTTAATTATTATTATTATTTAGACCACAAAGAAATAAAAATGCTGTGTCTAATAGAATGCTATTTTTTGCCATTGGGATTTAGAAGCTGAAAGAATATTATGTAACATATCGATAGTAGTTATTATGGGTACTAATGTATATTAAATGGCAACATTAGACAACTATGTATTGCATTGCCATTGTTGGTAAATTGGCTTTCGTGTCTACTCACAGGCATACATTCGTGTCAACTTATACATAGGTCGCAACACTTATCGTTATGTTTAGAGACCCTATTGTATATAATTATACCGTAGAACTTCGAATAGAATCCCCATGAGCTTAAATTCAAGAAGGCCATCTTGAAAGAGGCCCATCTCGAAAAGCAACCCATCCAAGGATCCTATGAAAAAAAAAGGAGGCCAGGGCTTTTATTCGAACGGTAAATTTATAAATGGTGAAAATGGCAAGGAATATATTTTAGGCCTATCCCATTTTGTATAAGGATTATGTGTATTAAACCACAATCCTATTCATACGGTAAGACATATTTCTCCTAGCGATGGTATTGGGTAATATAATATGGCAACCAGAAATATGTCATTATATTCCAAACCCACACATATTACTACTTAAATATTTGCAATACGAAGTGTGAAACCTGTTTGATTGTGTACAGAATGGACTGGTTTTGCTTTTTCCTCTTTGCCTACATTATTCCTATACTGTAATACGCTTTTTTGTAATGCAATTTAAATTCGATGGATTGCAAGCAGTTCCAAAGCCCTGAGGCGATATAACGGACTTAAATTGCGCCTATAATAACTATTGTCTGGAAGCTTCATACCGTTTACACTGTTTTCAGGTTAATACCAATAGTCCTTGAATGTGAACCCAATTACAATGCTGTTCAGTGCTTAAAATATGAATTATAGAACTGAAACGTTATAACATGCGATTACTGTATATAACACCAGGAATCACACATTTAGTAGGCCTCTACTATCCACCAAGACTCCATTAAATTGCATATTAATATTAACATTATAATGAAAACATTTAGCTTGTAAGTCGAATATGACAATCGAAATCAATAGTGACTAGAAGATTATAATCAAAGTACATTTGAAGACAAATATCATGTACAGACAGAAATAGCTTGTATTCACATTTGTTTATTAATTGATTACTGAAAAGTATATATATACGTGGAAATGTACTGAATACTCAGTACGGTACGTTTTAAAACAATTGCGAAAAAAATCGCAAGTTGTTCTCGGGCGGTGCTCGAACCCACGATCTCCAGATAACTAGCCTGGCATCATACCTCTAGACCATCGAACTTGCGCCTGATGGCCAGGGTTGAATTCGAGTTCTAGTAAGCAGCGGGTAATGCAGTGTTGGTAATAATTGTTATTGTTGTGATGGAACAGACAATAAATGGATTTGCGTCAGGAGAAACATGTATGCGTAATTTTGCCTATATTAAATGTGTGTAGATAGACCACCCAGGCCAAATAATATACCAGAATCACACAGAACGAACAACTACAATATTCTAATCAATTTAAATATATTTTAATAATGTATGCTCATGTACATACAACATTTAAAATAATGTACCATATGCACCATATCATATACCACACGTTGCGTATCATATTATATTCAATACTATACATCATGATCATAATTCATATTCATAAGCTTGACAGGATAGGCATACAGAAATTCAAGTTCATCCCACTTCTCTTTCTTATAAGGGTCAAGTCTTTTCACTATAATGATTGCATTGGATTTATTCTGTGTAAACACCAAGGATATCCCACGAAAGTCTAGAGGAAGACTTATCTCCAGTGGGGATCTTTCTGGTGGTGATAGGGCAGTACACCAGGAGACAATCCCCTACTCTTTTCCAAAGAGTGTACTGCGTTCTTTAAACCTGCACATGGGCCATAACGCACACGGGACCAACGGCTTAAACGTCTCATTCGAAAGACGGCGCACTATTGTAACTTGTATTTCAGCCCTCCAGCTGAAACACAAGGAGAGGCAGTGATTTTGAATTGAACCAGGGACCTAGAGATCTCCACGGGTCAGCACACACACAGTGGCTACCACCAGTTTAGCCGACTGAGCTAAGCTGCTATCTAACTATAATGATATCAAGCATACTGTTACTTTACATTTAAAAGAAAACAAATTATATAATATGGAGTCTAACCTGTAGACGAAGACAATATAAATATATGTAATGCTGTCTATATAAATTTGGCAGATGTGTATAAGAGACAGGTATATACATACACCGGTTTCTGTGCAATATCATAAAATTTATAATGTAAAAATCGATATCCTAGGACTAACATATTTCAGAAGTATCGACTTATCTTTTCTGGAAGACAAAACCAATTGTATCATAACTAATGTTTGCAATCTAAATCATTTCCCTTTATTTCATACATATAACTTCTATTATTAATTATTGAAGTAAAAGTGAATAATGAAATTAAAAGTTAAATCGAGTAATATAAATATTTGATACTGAAAAAAAATCACCAGATGAATCTAGCGAAAGTGTCTTAATACAATTAAGTCAAAAAAAGGAGCTACTGTACTTAATTACTTGAACAAATTCACAAGATTATAAATACCAATCGATTAACCAATCAACCAAATGGACAATCAAGGCATGGGTATGATTCTTCGTTGACAAGAAGAAAGCAACAGCAACACAACTGATGCTGAACAGTGTAGAACAGAATGTTTTTATTTCTTGATTTAACCAGGTTTTCATAGCATGTTATGCGTAGCTATTGTCCGAGTCCAATCCCAGATTGAGGCCCTGTCGATGAAACACTCCATGTCGATCTATTGTACCATAATATAGACGCCTTAAAGACAAAAATAATTAACGATTAGTAGCAAAATATATGAGAATGAATAAATACCAAGACGCAATTGAAAAATTAAGAAAAAAGAGAATAGAGGTTTTTGAATGAAACGAAATTGAAATATCAGGAATGTGCCGAGAAAGGATAAAAACGAAACGTATAGAGAAAAACGGGTAAAGGAAGGAGAGCAGTCAAGCGTTCAAACAAATATACAAGGTTTAACAAAATAAAGTAATCACGGAACAAAAAGCGATTGCGATTTGTTGCGAAATTATCCGTGCAATTTGTTACTCCACCCAATATCATTTTCCAAAAAACTGAAAGTAAGAATGAGTCTACAAATATTGTCCCTCTTGATGTGACGTCAATTCTCACGAGTGAAAATATATATTGGATGGTATTTTTTTCAGATTCAAATTCATTTTGAGTATTATATTCTTCATTCCAAAGTTTCTTTTATTATTGTTGTTTCTATCAGTTATTTTTATTACGGTATTTTACACTTATTGTCTGCGTTAAAATAATGAACTTGAACAATACAATTCAATGGACTTATTTGAATAATTAGCTTACAAATTAATATAAGAACAATTACTGTATAATTATTATCACTATTATTATTATTAATCATCATCACTACAGTACCACCTCCTCGACCACCACCACCACCACCACCATCATCATCATCATCATCATCATCATCATCACCACCACCACCACCACCACCATCATCATCATCATCATCATCATCATCATCATCATCAATAACATCATCATCATTATCATTACCATTATTAATACTGTAATTATTATTATTCTTGTGGATGATGTCGGTGCTATCGTTGCCAATATCATCATGACACGATGATGATAATTTAATGACAAGGGGCTAATAAAAATGTGATATGATAATAATGGCGGAAATAATATCAGGCATTTTTAATCGCGTATACATACCTAACAAGTGTTGGATTTTCTTTGATCAATTTAGACTTTAGATCTTCTGCATCAACTTGCATCAGTTTATTAAGCTCTGATATCCTTTTTTCAAAAGCCTCATCTCTTGGAACCGACTCATTATCAATTGGCATAGTAACCACGCTAATAGTATCAAGATTATCACCAGATTCTCTATTTCTAAGGATGTCGCCACTGTCGGTCGCAGGGGTAGTAGCTTTTCCAAAAGAGAACGGATTGACTTCACCAGTTACAAGAGACTTATTAGAGGTGTCATTATTTGTCTGCTCACTTGTAAGTTCGTCTCCTATTGCAGAATCTTTTGAAGATCCAACCGATGTAGCACCAACCGAGGTAGATTCGGCGATTTCATGTGTATGGTCATCGGCTATCGTAGAATCGCTTGGTACTTCATGAACTTGTGCATGTAGTTGGGACCCATTGTTTGTTTCAATTGTTTTCTTTGCTTGTAAAGTTTCGCTATCATTTGATTGCTGTTGACTTTCAAGCTTAGGATTTATAAAAGTTGAGTCCTCTACTCTTTTTCGTTCAGTAGATCGACTTGCTGAGCTTCCGTCTTGGGATGACAATGTTGTGCTTGCCGTTTCAATAGATGCAGTTTCTGCCTTTGAACTATTTCTTAGTCTCCTTTGCATTCGTAATTCTTTCTTTCTTTTCAATGTTTCATAGGCTTCTATATATGCTTGTAACTGCCAGTAAGTCATTTTTTGTGCAACCGATGATTTATCGCAAAGGAATGCATGAACGATGAACATAACTGATGATTCCGTTTTCTTTTTGTCAAAAACTGTTCTAGTGACACAGGCGAATACGTTAGGATGTGCTACGGATCCGACACCATAGGTTACCATGTGCAATGGAATATATATGAACATGCCCTCCTTTTTAACTCGATTGAAAGGACCTGTGATCTCCCGAAAGAAAAGACCATCGGGGTTGAATGTCAGCACAAGTTTTGGTAGTTTTTCCTTTTCTCTTAATTTACACAGTTGGTCGACTGGTCCTTCAATGGCTGCATGACCATACTCCAACTTAGTTGGTACACGTCCTAAGTAATGGACGTAAAAAAGAGGATATTTCAAGTCGGATACTCTATCACCGTTTGTGGACTCAGATTTTGACTTTTTCTTCTCTTTCTCGGAATTTCTACGTTCTTTCACGTAATGTTTCTCTTCTTTGGGCACAGGCACCGTGCCGCTGAAGCTCTTTCGTTTTGTTTTATCTTTATCTTTGCCTGAGTTTTCCGATGTTTCTACGCTTTTTGTTCGACTCAGTCTCCGTAGGAAAGACATCGTTATTAAAAAGAAAACAAATTATATAATATGGAGTCTAACCTGTAGACGAAGACAATATAAATATATGTAATGCTGTCTATATAAATTTGGCTTCGCTAACACAAGCACTTATTATTGATCTAGTGATATAGTCCTTTCCTTAATCCGGATTATCGAACTCCTAAATTCCTTTCCAAGTCTTGAACAAGGTTACCTCATGGAATTTGAACAAGCGCTGATTAGTATTATCAGCTGCAGTAAATATACTCAACAAGCAGGCATGATATGTACGGATATCTAGGCCTTCCGTACATGAGCGTAACGCCATGACAATACCAATTCTCAATGAAATATCGGTGGGAGCGAAGGAGAGCAACCGCGATCAAGCTCCGTTTTGTTATGCTAATTTAACTTCTTTCCGCTTCATATCTACTCTATTGGCAATCATCTCAACCGAATCGAGTTTCTTGAAATAACAAGCAATCACAATAAACATTAAATATGTGCTATGTCCTTATACATTTGCAAAGTGATATATATTAGGAATGTCGCCTATATTTTAGAGACAATGTTATCTTCATATGTAGCCCTATTATAATACTATAATCAATGATAACAATATATATATATATATATATATATATATATATATATATATTATACATATATATTTGTACGTGTTTACATTTAACGTTTTGAGTGCTAGTACTGTTATACCCTGTCTACAGCATTTGAGTTTGCTTATAAGTGTATTGACTTGTCCTTACTTCATGCATGTATTTTTTAAGTTTTGGCAAAATAACTGAAATGTAATGATGTGAAATGGTGCTTATCTCCAGTTTATATTCTCTATGCAGCACCTTTAATTTTTATATTGCATATTAAGTATGTAAATGTATACTTATAATTATATGTATAACAGTATATGTATATATACATATATATACATACAACATACATCATACATACATTATGATATAAGATATATAATAATATATATATATATACATACATTATGTTGAATATATATATATGTATATATATATATATACATATATATATATATATATATACATATATATATATATACATATATATATATATATATACACACACTTTTAAGGTGGTACTGTACTTGTTCTCGTCTATTCTGTAAAATTTACCATCATCATGCATTTATGGTTTATAGTCACATAATACAATTATATTCTTTAACGATTGACATTAACTTTATTGCAGTATTTTCAGCCTTAATGTTCTTAGGTTAGCGGATACTTTACAGAAATTCATGGGCCACAACACGTTTTTACCCAAAGGCTCCACATCTCGTCTGCATAAGGTTAGTACTCAACACACTCATAAAAAAAAATGATGATTCACTTTTAAGGTGGTACTGTACTTGTTCTCGTCTATTCTGTAAAATTTACCATCATCATGCATAACTTTGTGAAATCATTACCTACAAATCCAACTAATCTTGCAATCGTGAGGATTGGATACGAGAGGAGGACATGAGTATTTTTGGTGTGAATCACACCAAAGACAACCACTAAGTCCGAAGGCTTGTTTCCAGTGGGGTCCTTTAGGTGGCGAGTAGGCCAGTACACAGAGTGACAATCTCTCATTCCTTTCCGAAGCGTGTACTGCGTGCTTTAACATATGGGCCATAATACACACTAACTACAACACAAGGAGAGCAGCAATGAGAATTGAACTGGAGACAAAAAGTTCTCCACAGAGTTCAACGTGGGTCAAGTCGTAAGCCTTGCTATGAATATTTCTTTTTATCACAGATTACAGTATAACAAGCAGTATTGCAATGCTTATTGGTTACTAATATAACACTATTCCAATGTTTATTGGTTACATATGGTCAGTTGACTATTCCAATGTTTATTGGTTATGTATGGTCAGTTGACTAATATAACATTATTCAAATGTTTATATGTTATAGTCTGTAGGCTAATTTGAATGAGCTTTGGTATTACTGTATTTATCACTATATTTTTTGTATCGGCACAGAATTCAAATCTAAAATATGGGATGGAAAGTTCATTTTTCTGGTTTACTAATGTAAAAACATCAAATCTGTTAAAATGAGAGACAAAGAATGTAAAAAAAAGTTGTTGGTGATTTACTATAAAAATACTTAAATTGATTACAAGCGAATTAAAAATCAATGCAAAGAATAAATGAATGACATTAATAATTACCGATGTGTCTATTAATTAGCAAGGAAAATATTTTTCGTTCTTAATTTTCAATTTTAATGTACTGACTTAAGCTCTGTCCAGATTATCAAATTTTCTTTGACAAAAAAATGATTGTATTCCCATATATAGTAATGATGTGTCCATATATAGTTATGATGAGCCAATATATAGTCATGATGTGTCCATATGTGGTCATGATGTGTCCATATGTCATGATGTGATGGCATTTCACATGCTTTTGTCAAATAAAATTTGATAGTTTAGACAGGGCTTTAATGAACAAAGTGAGAAATACAACCAATTCATTTTATAGTTCAAGTTTATTAGTTCACTGAAAAAAGTACTGTAAAACCTTTAATTGAAGCCTCATGGGCTTAATCTCAAGAAGCCCACCTTTCAAAAACATTCATCTGGTTTGTAGGTAATATGTGAAAAATTGTCTATGATTACCAACCAATTTACTTGAACTGACTTCTACTAACAGTTTTGATGTTCATTGCAGGAACATCATCTTCAGAATGACAACTTTATTGTTAAAACAACACAAATAGGTGGCGGTACCATGTCATTGACTGAGCTCATTCTAATATAATTGATCAAGCAGCTGATGGAAACACCAGGTGTATCAAGTAGTCCATATGGATCAGACATAGCATCACTCTGAAGATGATGTTTGTGTGCCTAAATTTACTTTAAAAAATTTAACAGCCCCACCTATGATTTCACCTAAAAACATGAGCATAGAAATTATTATATTAAAAAATGTGTACCCTGACTTTTATTCTTGAAAACAATAATAAAAATAATAAAAAAAAACTTCTGGAAGTTTTTCTATCATTTTTCGCTGTAAAGTTATGAGTGAAATACACTTATTTTTGCAAGGGACAATACATCTTTAACATTGGCGTTGGTGAAATGCTCCTCACCCAGAGTTCAGTTGGTAAAACCAAGACAAAGCCAGAGGTCCAGTATACACATCTGGCTTGTGTGCCACTACATCCTTTGGAAGAGTAGGGGGAGAGGTGGCTGCCAAACGATCTGGTTCATTGCCAAATTATGAAGATGCAAATTTGCAGGTCAGCTTAGTGGCTGCAACTTAATGCTTGCTTGAAAGCCTGTAACAAAAGATTAAAAACATATTCAATGGTACTGGTGCTGTGCTTTTATAATGCACCTTTCCTTTTGCACAAAATGCCTTACTAACTATTATTTATACCTGGATAGATGAAACTTGCAATAATAACAATTCACTTTTTTTTTTTGTTTCACTATTGATGAACGTTTTCCTATAGAGTATTTATTGGTGATCCGCAACTAGTGCGGATCACCTCTTGTTATTGTCAGGATCATCTTTTTTTTTTTTATTCTTCTTTCTTTCTCCCCATTTCATGTTCGCATGATATCTTAAAATCACCACAAGCTACGAACATGCTCGCTTTAAAGAACATTTTGCTTGGCCCGCACTAGTCAATGTGACCTATTGAATGTGCTCAGTCATGCGTGACGTCATCTACGCGCAATATTACGTATTTTACATTATCGATCATATCATCGTAACCAATTGTCATTTCTAAATCATATTGAGTGGGCATAAACTTCAGGGCATGGTTTAATGTCACGTACCAAAATAGTTCGCATGCGCGTCATAACGCGTGCGCACCTGTGCCTCAAAATTTCAAAATGCTCGAAATCACTTTTTGACTTAATTAGAACACGTTTCACGCCATTTTGAGCATTTCAATTTTTTTGGAAATTTTCCACTACGCACGCGCATTTGTACGCACGCAGCACGTATGGAAGCTAGACATTACATTTTTTCATATAAATTGGGTTCCTGACATTGTTTTCTCAATTTTCAATTTTGTTCAGTCATCTTATGGCCAACAGCAATGCCGTACGCACGCATCAAACATAGTGATCTTTGCGCACGTTTGTGCCGATATACAGTGAAATTATGCTAAAATCAGGCCTATTTTAAATCAGTTATAGCTCCTTAGAATGAAAGGTGACCACCAATTTTTATTACATATTCTGAAAGCACGAGTTGTAAATATGATTTATAGATCATAATGGCTGATCGGACATTGTGACGTCATCATTTTGCCATCTGAATTAAACAAACTGAATTTTATCGATGAAATCATTTTTGAAAATGCGCATTTGAAACTTCAGGTCAAGGTTGAATGTTATGTACCTTCATTTTCCGTTCGCGCTTTTTAGCGTGCACGTACGCGTGCCTCAACATTTATATATGCATAAAACCATGAATATTTTTAATCAGTTATAGCTCCTTAGGATGAAAGGTGACCCCCAATTTTTATTACATATTCTGAAAGCACGAGTTGTAGATACGATTTTATAGATCATATTGGCTGATCGGACATTGTGACATCATCATATTGCCATTTGAATTAAGAAAACTGAATTTTTATTTATGACGTCATTACTTTTTATACTCGTTTGAACGTATTCTCGCTTATCTTGTTTGATTGTCTCCCACCTGTGAGTATGTTATAGCTAAATCAATTCTCTTTCAGACGTGTCCCTTTATTTTTCATTTTGATCACGTCAGTATGGTCAAAAAGAATGAATTTTTAGAGCATTCTTATCTCTCATTCTTAAAAGATGTAAAAATAGAACAGAGAGAGGGCGGCAGACTGTATTTCAACGCTATCAGACTTACAGTGTATATACAGTATAGGTTATATGAAGGGAAAATTCGTGTGGCATTCATAACTAACAAACGGTTTTAAAAACACAACAATATTTAATTTTGTGTGCCATTACTGTACACGCACACATCGTGACGTGTGCGTATGTTAAAATTTCAAAATTCTCAATATCACTATTCAGATAATTTAAACGTTTTGGGTCATTTTCTGCATTCCAAAACTTTCCATATTTACGCGCCATACGTTCATTTCGACGCACAACGTACTGAAGCTGGAAATCACGTTTTGTTACATATTTTGTGTTCCTGACACTGTATTCATATCAGGAGTCACTCGTTGTGCCAATACCGTGCTCACGGGCGTCAAGCCGTACGTGTACACATGCGTAAATTTTTTAAAATGCTGAAAATTGTTCTTTTTTAAAACACTAGTTGTACAGAATATTTTAGCATATTATGAAACTTTTCAATCAGCACCGCACGCGCTTTATAAGGGTCAAATTACGGCGGATCACCAAACTCGTCTTTAGTGACGAGTTCAAATCTAGTTTTATATTTCAATTTGTATAGAAAAGTCAGGAAATAGGTGAAAACTAAATCATTATATTTACATGTCTCAATGCATTAATAACTTTAATTGATTCTATTAAATGCGCAAATAAAATTTAATTTTGTAGGATATTAAAGGTGAAGTTTACTGATTTTATATAGCATATATAGCATACTCAGTTACATTTTGAAATTGAGAATCTTGAGCGTGTTCGCTAAAGCTCTGTTTCCATACAATTGCTACATATAATACCAACAGCTTTTGGTGATTTTGATTGGTCAACTGAATTTGGGAGCCTTCCCAATTCCATTACAAATACAAGGATAGTATTATGAAGAACTCCTGTACGAATCATCCTAATCATAAGCAATACTGTAAAAACAAGTTCCTACTGCCCCTTCAAAAATACTCGGGCCACCCCGCCCCCCCAACCTAAAAATCAGTCAAGTAGTTAAAAATCACCTAATTTACTGATCATCGATACCCACACTTCATCTTCGCGCCCTCCATCAGCATCCCCATTTCAAGACTTCCACTCCACTGGGCATAAGAAGGAGTACGATTTCTTCCTAGATGAGTTTTACTCAAGTCATTTAAAATTGGTAAACTTCTCCTTAGAAAGGTTTTTTTCAAAGACAGTATGTTTAATCAGTTGAAGATCCAGGAATTTGAAATAGAGGAGCCAAGGGAGGGACTTTTACACAGGGAGGGTCTACACCACCTCTAGTTGTGACACTCTCAGACTTAAATTTGAATAAAATTCTCTTTTTTTCTCCATTTTTTTTTATAGAATTTCGGAGGGGCCACTGTTAATGCAACTAAACATAATTATTTTCTTTTTTTATTAAAACAAAATGTTTACCTACATTTTCTTCAATCATACTGTGGCTTAGTTACTCTTATTACATCATAACCAGTAGACTGAAATGTAAATGAAACAATTGATAGAAGGTATGAGGTCTGTAATGGCCTGAATTTGTGCTAAGGTGAAAAAAAAATAATTATAATACTTTTAGACTAATAGAAAATAACACAATATTTGAAAGAAACTAACAATAAATGTAATGTAGGAAAAAAAAGATTTTATGTTATTTTGCATATCTAAGGGACAATGCTAAGAATTGAAAATTCAGGGGCAAGCCAACGATGATGATGATTATAATTACAAGATACAAGATACAAGATAGCTTTATTGTCAAATTAAAATTTGAAATTAGTTTTTTCTCAAGGCAACAAAAGTACATAAACAACATAAAAAACATACGATATATAAAGGAACAGTAAAATGTAAAAACGTTTTTTCTGCCTTCAATTAAAGACTACTTCTGGGACCAGAGTTTCAGTGGTCTTTAATTAGATGTGGTCTCTAATTAGAATAATAATAATGTATAATTAGACATTCGTTAATAAGGGACCCCAGAAAAGTGGGCTTTAATTAGATGTGGTCTTTAAGTGGAGACATGTATTAATAACATTTTCATTACTATATTTATTTGAACATAGCGTTTACAACAACCACCCTACCGGAACTGTATTGAGGATTATATGTATTTTACCTCTTCACAGGTTTTTACACGTAGTCCCAAACTCTCTGCTTTCTTCAGGATAAATTCCTTTTCAGATGTGCTTAATGTTGAACTTGGAAATACCTTGCAAGTAGATTCATCAGCTTCAAAAGCACTGTAAGGTAACATAAGTGTGTACCATAAAACCTTAATGTGCTTAATCTCGAGAAGAAGCCCCCTCTTTAGTTTGCAAAAGTACTCTTGAAAAGAAGCCCATCTCGAAAAGAAGTCCATGGATTTTTAATCAAGATAGTATAGGCTTATTTTCAAGATAGTACTTACATCCAGACTGATGTTATCTTCGATGATTATTATAGCATGTCAGTATCAATATTATTTTATTGTACTAGTATGGTTAAAAGTAAAAAAATATTAAAATCGGTAATTAAAACAGCAGTTTTTCCAAATGTTGTGAGTCAAAAAACTGGAATGTAGTATGATTACTATTATTGAAATTAATTGGATTGTAAATTTTAAAGCTGATACCAAAACAACACTAACTCACCTCAAGCTCTCATTTACTTGGTCTTCAAAAGATTTAGCACAAACAGTTTCAGTTTCTTTTTCTTTTTCAACTTTAGAATCCTCATTCGGTTTGGCTTACAAAAGGAAAATTAGAAAAGACCTTATCATTCAACTGTTTACAAAAAACAAACAGATGGGACCTTGTACCACAATGTAACATCTTAAGAAACACTGGCATTGTTTAATTGTTTAAATAGATTAATTGTAATTAATTTTGATAAATTTATATATGTATATATTAAAATGATAATTCAATTCAATTTTTTTAATAGGAATCCAGATACATTTTTATACAAATTTTATATGTTTATAATGACGATTGCAATAAAGATTTTCATATTTCGTGTTTCATAATTCAATTCAATTCAATAAAACCTTATTATCCCACAATGGGGAAACTCATTTGGCCTTGACCGTACAAAATGTTAACAACAAAAATAGACAAATATAAACACAGAATTCGTCAGTTAAAAATCAGTTTAAAATTGATCAACTTCTAACAGACTTTCCCTGTTAAAATTGTAAAGAAATTTGAAAGACATTTTTACTGTCAAGTGAAATAAATATTATCTCACCTTTAGACTTCATAAACATTCTTGAACACATGTCCTTTTCCAGGGTTTTGAATGTCTTACATGCTTTCTCTAACTTATGCAGTTCTTTTACAATACTACCATCATTTGGTGCAAGCTTCTGTGCGGTCTTTAGGCTTCCTCTAGCTCGACTGAAGTCACTCAAATGGAGTAAAGCCTATGAAGTATCAATAACAATTTTTAAGGAATCAATTAAAAAAATTGCCACTCTCCGAATCGAGGATGCTGAACATTTAGATGACACTTAATCAAGAACATGTAACTGTTACTAGGATAGGAAGCTGGCTGGTATTGTTATGCTAATGAGCCAGATAAGCAAAATCTGCACATGCTCAGAAAAAACAAAAATTCCACACATAAGGCTAATTCAAGTTAGACGGCTTAGTGTATGTTCACACATACAGCGTAAGACTGGTGTAGCTTACGCCGGCGAAAGCTAATCCACGGATTAAAATTCCAAAGTGTTGACACAAACGGCGTTCTCTATATTAATGCTAGCGTTAAACTAGTAGTAATATAGGCCTATGGTGGAATAGTTTTCAGTTTTAAAGAATGTACGGGTTCTTAACTGTAGTAAAATATTTACAGTGCATCATTAACACTTTTAAATCTGTGAATTGTTTGAAGTGAACTTATATGATTATTGTATTTTAAATAAACAATTTTACTTCTGATTTTTCAGCTAGCATTGTGGAACAATTGTTGGTGTTGCAGGTTTTAATAGACAGTTTAAATAGGTTAAAATATCTTACAAAACACAATCAACAAATCATATACATTGTAAACTAAGTAAAATGCAATGGGAAAAGAACCCCTTTACCATTTCATTTATAGAGAGCACAGAAAAGAGATACTAATCTATTGCAATCGTGGTTGCTCAATCTCTTGAAATGAGGTAAAATCATTCAAGCATCACTGGCGTTAGCTCCGTGGCGTTAACTAATCTGGTGTCTGCTGGTAGCGTTAATAATGCCACGGATTTGGCATTGTGAGTGGCGTAAGTAATGCCACTGCCTAGTTCACACACAAAGGCGTACACTACGCTAGCCTTATGCCGTGTGTGTGAACATACCCTTAAACCAGCCAGCTTCCTATCCTGGTAACAGTTTAAAGTCCTTGACTTAAAAAAAGAACAAAATGGAAACAACAATGTAAGTGAAAACTAGTTTCAGTTAGTGAAAGACAAAATTGCATACATTCAAGATATACTGCCACATACCGTGTTTACTCGAATAAACGCCCCATCTAGAACCTCATTTGGAATAAAGTCCTACCTCAAATAAACGTCCCGAGGCATTTATTTTTTCTTCGAATAAAGGCCCTCCCCCACCCCCAATGCCTGTAAACAAATCTAATGGAAGCAAAATCATTCTCAACACATTTTATTAATGTTCTACACCAGTAGAATTACATTTTTTCCCATTACACTTGTTTACAGTCATTTTTTTTATTTATTTATTTATATATTCAGGTATAATCATATAAAAACAATTATAAACAACAGCTGAAGCTAAAATGGTTTGCATCACAAAAGTTATTCACAATACTTATCCAAAAACCTTCGCATACAAGATTGGTTATTAAGGGCAATGATTTCACATATAGTTAAATCATCAACGTATTTTCAGCGTTTGTAATCCCCAATAGCTGCATCATTAATTGAAATAAAAAATAAAGTACAGGTAGGTCCAAGTTTGGTACCTTGTGGGACACCGCAAGTGATGCTGGTTTTAAGGGATAATTGCCCATGATATCCGGTATCGTGCGTACGATTGGTGAGAAAATTTAATATAATTGGGATGATGGAGCATCTACCTTCAATGTCAATGAGTTTTTTTGCAATAATAATGTGATCCACTAAATCAAAAGCTTTAGTGTAATCAATTGTACACAGGTTGACAAAATGGTCATGTTTGTCAAGCCTTTGAACAATGACGTGCAACATATCAATCAAGTAATATGCTGTAGATGTTTTTTTAATGTTCCCAAATTGCTGAATGTCAAGCTTTTTATGGATATCTTCCATTACCCATTCCACAAGGAAGGTTTCAAGCACCCTAGCAAAATCAGGGTAGGGCTATAGGTCGAAAGTCATCTATTGTGGACACCTTTGGAACCTTAGCTATTGGTACTAAAGTAGCAGTTTTCAAGGACTCCGGGAAAACATCCTGTCTCATAGCTAAATTAAAAAGCATACATAGGGAAACAGTTAACTCAGGAGCAAACTATTTAACTAGTCTTAAGGTATATCAAATGGGTGTGTGGACTTCCTCACGTCAAGCTTATTTAGTTGTTTTAGAACCTGATCTTTAGAAATAGTTGGAGGAGACTCGGAGGAGACTCAGCAGGTATGCTGGTAATGATATATAGTCAAGTGCTGGAAATTTCTGGCATATCTTAGCAAAGTGTTTGTTAAAAAGTCAAATTAACGATCCCTTGGTCAAGTTGAAAGGTAGGTTTTCTACCAAAATTACATAGGTTCTTTATGTGTTTGTGCCACATAGCAGTTTGTCTCTGCTGCAGGTTTTTGAGTTTTTTAGTAGGAACTTTTGGCATTTATGATCTGGCGTTGCACCTCACTGCGCAAAATTCTCCATTCCTGATGGTAATTTTGTCTAAAAGCCCGCTGCCTGTCATTAACTAGACATCTCAGTTTAGGTGTAAACCATGGTTGATCCTTGCTGTGCTTGTAGAAAGTTTTACTTGGAAAAGATTGAATAAATCGCTCGATGAGCAAATTTGGGGGGGGGGAGAGGGGCGAAGGTGTTTATACATCTCAGTGAGTTTATTCGAGGGAGGTAATGGGAATAACCCATACCTAGCCGTGTAACTGTGCTAAATTGCGTATAGGCTGTAACTACCTAGCTGCCTTGATTACCTAGAGGCGTTTATTCCAGATGCGGCCTAAATTTGAGGAGAGGCGTTTATTCAAATAACTATGGTAATCAAACTTTTTCTTTCAAACACATTACCTGTCCCTTCCTAAAATGAGCTTTGGCATTTTTCGCATCTATAGCAATAGCTTTATTAGCAAATGTGACAGCTCTTGGGGAATTGCCTAATTTGAAGGAAGACAATGACATATTCAGGCAGACTTTAAGCATCACTGCTTTCATCTCCTCTTCTTCAAATTCATTTTTGAGACGAGCATCCTCAAGAAGTCTATAAGCCTAAAAAATAAACATAAAAACAACTTGAAATTTAAAAACGACTTTATATTATGTTACTAAAAAATTATTTTCAGAAGTGGCAGTTTCCATTCTGGTTGTTGAACTTGTGGTCAGGAGTTGAAACCACACACTGACCATTCTCAACAGACCTTGCTAAGATACGCAGTTTGCATTATTGATGGGCTGTGAAGTGGTTTACCTAGAAGTGACTTTTTTTCTCCTTATTTCTATCTGTGTATACAATGATTATTGATAGATTTATTTATTGTAATGCACATAATTTTAATAAACATTTATTTCTATAGAACTTGCCTATGTATTATTTTAATCTATTATTATTACTATAGGATATCTGACATCGACATATCATATTCTATGTACAAATATGAATGTGTACTCTATGTGTATTTTCATAGATTATTCTGTGTGTAAATCTATTCACTCAATGATATTATTTTTTTATATATTATTATATATTTTTCATTAAAAAGCATTTATATAGCGCCTTTACAAAAAAAAGATTAAAGTTCTGTATATTAAAGCCCATTTTACAAAGATAAAAGCTAAGTACAATAAAAATGGCAAATACAAATTACTATATTTATTATTTTATCAGATTTATATAGTGAAATATATAACTGTAATCCCAAATTGCATTCATATGAAACTGAATGGTCCACTATAGGGAGAAACAGGCATGACATCACGTCAGGGGAGGCGCCAGAGGGGGGGGCTGTGAGGCTATTGCATATTATAGTTACTCGATGCCTATCAAATAAGTTATAAAAATTCGCCATAATTCATCAAATATCCGTGGCTTCCAGGGGGCTTCGCCCCCCCTGGACAAATTCTCCTGTGCAATTTCATGTATGAAATGTTTGTATACATTTTAAATAAACTCAAATTTCTATGGAAATTTGTTGATTTCTCTGTATTTTTTTGTAGAGTGTGTGATTTGCCTATTATCATTTTTAAATCAGTCAAATCTGATGTTCATACAACGATTTCACTATACAGGAAATAGCAAGTGTTGTAAGTCTATGCCTGCAACTTATGATAATATCTTTATTTCCTCCAAATTTACATCATACAAAAAAAGAAGTCAGAACAAAGGAGAAACATAAAGTAGAGTACAAAATGGATGAAACATCAGAGCGACCAGTAGTGCATTTAATGAAGCCAATAGTTTTAGGAGCATTGGAATGGATACAATTACATGTGAATACCATTAAGGTCTAAATGAATTATAACACCAAGATACTGTCTCTTATACACATCTAGATTGTCTTGACTGTGTATAACTGTATTATGTTGATACCTTGCAAATCTGTTAATAACTGTAGTCGCCAACTGTGTTGGTGTCTTGACTGTGTATAACTGTATTATGTTGATACCTTGCAAATCTGTTAATAACTGTAGTCGCCAACTGTGTGGGTGTCTTGACTGTGTATAACTGTATTATGTTGATACCTTGCAATCTGTTAATAACTGTAGTCGCCAACTGTGTGGGTTTCTTGACTGTGTATAACTGTATTATGTTGATACCTTGCAAATCTGTTAATAACTGTAGTCGCCAACTGTGTGGGTGTCTTGTAACTGTGTACAGTATAACTGTATTGTGTTGATACCTTGTAAATATGTTAATAACTGTAAATGCTAAATGTGTGGGTGTTCCGTAACTGTGTACAGTATAACTGTATTGTGTTGATATCTTGTAAATCTGTTAACAACTGTAAACGCTAATTGTGTGGATGTCTTGTAACTGTGTATCTGTACTCTGTTGATATCTTGTAAATCTGTTAACAACTGTGTGTAACTGTATTGTGTTGATATTTGTAAATCTGTTATGACTGTAGTCGCCAACTGTACTGGTGTCTTGTAACTATGAATAGTGAATTAGTCAGTACACCAGGAGATAATCCCCTAGCAAAACTTGTCCTTGACAATGTGTTGTGATGCCCAAGAAGAATGACATTTAAAGATCAGGATCAATGGGTCAGCAAGACTTTTTCCTTTACTATTATTGGTCTACACCCCATTCTACAGCTCACTGCTAACCAGCACTGGTGCCAAACATTTTGGTTGGCAAGGTAAACACAGGGTTAAAAACAATGGTTAAGGTAACAAATTTATCAAATACAGTTGAACTTGCCTAAGTTGAATCCAAAATGTCATTGAAAAATTGTTGAATTAGATAAAAGTTGACTTACAAACCGTTAATTAATGGAAAACACAACAATTTAGTATGTAAAATAACAACTTATAAATTAATCGAGTTAGACAAAGCCGACTTAGGCAAATTTAAACATATGCTCTTTTGGTAGCCTCCTCGGTAAAAAAAATGAATGTAATGTTTCTTACCTTCTGATATTTATTGAAAGCTTTGTGTATTGCATTTGACCTAAACAGGTCATTTCCCATCTACAAAGAGGAGAAAAATAACAAAATACATATCAATCTTTTGTAAATTTGTCAACAAAGACTGATGATTCTCAATGTTTTTTTTTCTCCTTGTACACGATACAGTGAGTGAACTTTTGTAATAAGCACACAAAACACTTGAGCAAAATATATACAAACATTCTACCTTATATTCCTTAAAGTTAAGTTCTCCATTAGAATTTTTTGTATTTGTAAATTTTTCAAATTCTCCTGTGCAATTTCATGTATGAAATGTTTGTATACATTTTAAATAAACTCAAATTTCTATGGAAATTTGTTGATTTCTCTGTATTTTTTTGTAGAGTGTGTGATTTGCCTATTATCATTTTTAAATCAGTCAAATCTGATGTTCATACAACGATTTCACTATACAGGAAATAGCAAGTGTTGTAAGTCTATGCCTGCAACTTATGATAATATCTTTATTTCCTCCAAATTTACATCATACAAAAAAAGAAGTCAGAACAAAGGAGAAACATAAAGTAGAGTACAAAATGGATGAAACATCAGAGCGACCAGTAGTGCATTTAATGAAGCCAATAGTTTTAGGAGCATTGGAATGGATACAATTACATGTGAATACCATTAAGGTCTAAATGAATTATAACACCAAGATATTTGTCATTGTTAACAAAAGTTAAACCAGAACCAAGAATATTGTGTGAAATGAAATGAAATTGAGTGGTGGGAAATAGGTAAAAGAAATGATTTGTTGGGTTTAGTTACATGCCATTTTTCATACTCCAATACTATCATCAAAGTTGATTCTACAGTAGAGATGCTTCTTCAGCTGAATTAACAGGTCTAAAAATAATAGTATCATCAGCATGCATATAAAAGGATGTTTGTGGTGAAACCCTTCTTTATCAACGACCATCAACAGTTCTAAGTGTTGATGTGGATGCATATTAATTTAATTATTTGCATGTGATTAATGCCGTTCAATATGTAATGACTAAAGCAAACAATACCAAAATTATGAAAAGAATACGAAGATCTCAATGATATTGAGCAACAACTGAATATTAATATTACTTCTGCTACATGATTCACAGATTACACTAAAACATTATTAGGAGCTAAAGCAGGCACTCCAAAGAGTGCATACCTCCACCCTGTGCCTGGATATGAGTGGGTGATTCCATTATATTTGTCTATGCTCGATAGTAAGTTCAAGGGAAAAAATCAAATGCAGAGATCCCAAGTCTCTCGAAAATTGCGGGTTCTCCCGATTTTTGAAGCCGTCTCCCGCCCTCCCGATTTTTATTAATAATCTCCCGATTTTTTAAAATATCCCGAAAATTTCACGAAAAATGTGATTTCCACGATGTCATAGAGCAATAAAACAAAATTTCTTATCTTAAGCCAATATACTATGGCTGTCTCTTATACACATCTAGATGTGTATAAGAGACAGGAGTGACGACAGCAAGCTAAGCCTAGCCCAGGGCATAGATCGTGTACGTTCTTGATAATCGTAATGAAAACTTCGGGTGATAGACGATTGGG